GAAAGAGTGAACTGTCAAGCTTGGCATGAATGCATACTTTTTGTATGGCCTGAAAATCCACAAGCCAATAATTTTAATAAGACAGTAGACCTGGGATGGGAGCTGCTTCCGCCACCCAGCCACAAGAAACATTCTCATAAAGGAAAGGACCCTCAACTGGGTCCTCAAAGAATTCTCACAAATACAGTGCTAACAATTTTAAGTTCATAATAAAAATCACAAAACACATGAAAAATAAGACCTTAAAGTAACAGCACAAAGAACCAATGACAGAGTCAGCATAAAAAAAATTATCAGATACTGCAAGTATCAATGACCAAATAGAAAACAGCTATGTTTAATAGGTATAAATAATTCAAAAAAGAAATTTAAAACATCATCAAGGAGCTACTATTATAAATAACCAGGCAGCTCAAAAAAGAACCCAGTAGAACTTACAAGAATGAAAACTTTAATAATCAAACTGTAAAACTCAAGGGTAATTGACACCTGGGAAAGGAGAAATACTAAACAGAAAAGAGAGCTAAAGAAGGGCTTCCCTGGTGGCACAGTGGTTAAGAATCGCCTGCCAATGCAGGGGACACAGGTTCGAGCCCTGGTCTGGGAAGATCTCACATGCTGCAGAGCAACTAAGCCCGTGCGCCACAACTACTGAGCCTGCACTCTAGAGCCCGCGAGCCACAACTCCTAAGCCCACAAGCCACAACTCCTGAAGCCCAGTTGCCTACAGCCCACGCTCTGCAACAAGAGAAGCCGCCGCAATGAGAAGCCCACACACCACAACGAAGAGTAGCCCCTGCTCGCCGCAACTAGAGAAAGCCCGCGCGCAGCAACGAAGACCCAACGCAGCCAAAAAAGAATAAATTAAATAAACTTTTTAAAAAGAGAGCTAAAGAAATTGCAGGAAATGGAGCAAAGCTAGGGAGGAGGAAGCCCAGAAAGGTAGCTACCAGACAAGGGGATCACTAACGAGCATGCAGAATCTGCCCAGGCTGCGGCCAGCTCTGACCCGGCCACTGGACGAGGCAGACACTACGGAGCCCAGTGGAGAGTGAGAGGAAACCACGGAACGAGGCACAGATTTGGCACTGACCACCTCGCGGGGGCCAGGGTTTAGGAGTCAGGAAGAGCCAACTGCCTGTCAGGACGAACACCAGTTCTCTTCAGGAAAAGGTACCAGAGCCCAGAGCCCACAGCCCATCTCCTGCAGTGTCCTATGTGTGCACAACTGAACATTTAACCAGCAGGGCCAGTGAGGGTGAGGAGAACAAGGCACTTGCTTTGGTTGCAAATTTAAGGGGTGCCTAAAAAGCTTCGTAACCGAGGTTTTTAAAATATATTGTAAAGCAACTTTTAAAAATCAGAACTATTGCAAAAATTCCATAATAAGCAATATATCAAATTTAAAATCAAGATGGGATCAGTAACAGTACTATGCCAAAACATATTAGAGCCTGAGGCAAAAGGAAAATCAATAATAGTGATTTAGTCCATTAATAAGGGATCGATTAAATTATGGTACACACATACATGCATGCCATGGAAAATGTTTATTACAGTTTTCTGTTAAAATAGCTGGTTTCGGGCTTCCCTGGTGGCTCAGCAGTTGAGAGTCCGCCTGCCAATGCAGGGGACACGGGTTCGTGCCCCGGTCCGGGAAGATCCCACATGCCGTGGAGCGGCTGGGCCCGTGAGCCATGGCCGCTGAGCCTGCGCGTCCGGAGCCGGTGCTCCGCGACGGGAGAGGCCACAACAGTGAGAGGCCCAC